AGACTTGACAGATTCAAAACTGGTGCCACTTATCATTCTTTAGTCTTAACTGTGACACAGCATCTCAAAGAACCATTGGAGATGAAGGCTTCGCCATGGGAGGAGCTCATACAACTACTGTTAATCAGCTCCTGTCTGAAGGACTACGCAGATTTAAGTGCCCTGCAAATAGGGTGAAAGGGGAAAAAAGGGAGTTTGGAAAGGTAAAATGGTCTGCCACAGGTCTCGCAAGAGGTCAGGATGAGAAGCAGAAAAGGAAGTCAAGCATCCTGCTTGTTGGCCTTGCTCCTCAGCCTAACTCTGCACCAACTCTCCCCTTGTCAAAGTCAGGGCATCCAGCAAATACACAGAAGAAAACTACATTTCCTGAATTATCAGCTCTGAGACAAATCAAGGTCCCTTTATTGCACAAACTGAGTATTTTCAACAGGACCATCTTAGTACCTCTCTCCTCCCCATGTGCATCCCTACAGCACACTGGAACTACAAAAGGAGACTGCTACGTTATCAAATACATAAAACTGGTGGTTCCTTTGGTAGCTCTGAGCGCTTACGGTAAAATACCAATGAAAGTTTCTTCCCACCAGTCAGGGAAACTCCTCTGCTGTGGGGAGTGACTCAGCCGGGACATAGTCCAGAAGGCAACAGGAGATGAGGGGCCCCGATGGCACTTTTCCAGTCTTAATCAGCACTGTCTGCATGGTGATAGAGACTGATAAGCTGCCAGAAGCCATTTCTTTCTATGAGACTTGAAAAGGTGGTCCAGAACAGTTGTGATCTCTGTGTATGTGGATTTTGGTTTTTTTAATGCAAAATGAAGGGCTTTAATTTCCCATGGTGGCCAACAAACAATTTTGATAGTTTCATCCTAATCTCCTGTAAATATCCATTTCCACTCCTCCAACGTTACCCAATCTCCACTCCACAAAGTATTCTTTTTTTTTCAACAAATCAGACATGCTTATCTACAATAGCACATTTATCAATGGGGAGGGCTGTGACAGAGAGAAACCATTCCTACTGCACAGTGCATAACACATTCAGGAATCCTTTCTAATAAAAAGGGATTTGATTAAAGACAGCCAACTACCACAGATCAGCAACTGAATCAGCAGCAAAGAAGGAAGAGTAGCTTAGACTTAAGAGACTTCAATTTGCTGACCTGCCAAGGACTTCCCAGGAGAAGGCACTTCATAAGTCACCTCATAACCTACAGGAGGGTAGGAAGGGACATACACCAAAGATCGGGGTGCTTAGACTTAGTATGGTAGTGTGGCCTTTCAACAAAACAAAGTTAGGCAGAATACCCAGCATGCATGTTTAACTCCTAAAAATTCGGTGGTTTTTTAATTATTATGCTTAGTGATGATATTTCCATGTTTAAGCACTGCCTTGCCAATGGCAGCTAGAGGATTTCCCAGTGACTGGATCGTGCTGCTGTGGGAAGTCTAGGCAACAAACAGCTGCAAACTGTGATCTTGCAGCTCCAAAGTGTGTCTCCAGCATGCTGCTTCTGGCTCTCACCATGCACCCGGGCTCTCCGGGAACGCAGTGCGAACCATGCCGTGCTGCCAGCTGTGTGTGCTCACCTAAGCGATCACTGGCTAGAACAGTTCCTCCGACTCTGAAACCACCTTCAGTAATTTCCACCTAGGGAAGCTGCTGAAAGGTGTAGTGAGCACAGACCTGATGGAAGTGCTGGCTGTCCTGCTCCTGAACTCAGCTCACCCGGTCTGCCAGCAGTACCATCCAGCATTTCCAGGGCAAAGAGACAACTTTAGTGGCTCCTACTCCTCTTCCCTCCCCAGGAAGCTCCATTCTGCCCACGCTGACTCCAGAATCAAGATGGCTTGATCGAAAACCAGAGATATGGCAAGTGAAACTGCAGAAGGAAGATGGTTACAGAAAAGATCCCAGAGTGCTGACGGGCCAAATAAAATGACCTTTCTCCAGCCTGACAGTTCAAATGTAATTATTCCAACAAATTATTTTCATGACTTAATATAACGCCTTGCAGCTTTCTAGCAAGGTTAATTAGATTCCTCAATTCAAAACCTATCTGCTCTTAACCAACTTTTAATACGCTGAAATCCAGTTTTCTAAATTCAAACTAATAAAAGTGATTAGCTGACAGCTATCTGGTACGCTACAATTACCATGGCATTTAGACCTCAGGCAGAAGGTATTTAATGCAAATCAGAGTCAATGTCTCTGACCATTTGTCCTTTTTCTGATTATTTGATCAATGTGCCATATGAATCTTGTACAATCCATGCTCCCATGCTGAACAAATAAAGAACAAAGGCAGAGATATTGGTTGAGATAGTTAACCAAAGTTGAAAGACTCTTTTTTTCCTCCCACACTTAATTTGTTCTTTCCACATGAGCATGAAGTTACTGAAAGGCACTGGCTGACAGCTCAAGTAGATGGGTATTTAGCTCTGACATAGCCAGAATTAGTACAAAACTCCCGGCCTGCACTGCCGTATCAAAAAGCCTCATCCACTGTGACTCCAGAGACGATCTTCCTCTGGGAGTAGCTTGGGCTGGAACAAACGTAGGAGGATGAGGGCAGCCCACCTCTTTGATTTTATCCAACCATAACAAGCAGTTGTGCTCCAGAACTGCTGGTTTTGTTTTATGTTTTTCTTGGTAGGTATATAATTAGTTGTGACCGTGTCTCCCAAATGGCTGCACAGGGCACAGCATGTTTAGAGAGCTGAGGAGGAGTTCAGCCCAGCATATGGTTCTTCTGCACATCAAAAATGCCAAGGCTGGACAACACTTCAGAGATGACCTTCAGTGGCATAGACTCAGTGCAATTAGAAAATCAATCAGGTGCAGCTTGTAATTAAACATCACCTGCCCAAGGTAGGACTAGGGTTAGTGTTTGGTTTTCATCTTCCAGCTTGCATCATGCATGATTATTCCATCTTTGATTATGCTACCGCTTATATAAACAACACTGGCAAAATTTCTGAATGCTCTGGAGCCTCCTTTCCATTTTCTTGTCTCCTGCTGAATTAAGAGCTATTCGCATGGCATTGGTCTGACCTCCCATCTGATAGCCAAATTGATGACCTAACGTCGAGAGACTTTTTGTTCCAACCCTTTGAGCTATGCATCCCTTTTGGATGAAAAAACTTTGATGCACCACTCTCTCAAACAGAGCAGAGCCATCTTAGTGATACAGTATTAGTCTGCAAAACCCGAGCATTTCAGCTTCATAAATACAAGTGCTAAACAAAACTAAAGCTCCACTTCAGGAAGCAATTTCTGAGCTGTGAGGAAAATTAATCACTAGAACAGCTTATCAGGGTAGGTGGTTGACTCACCATTGCTTGAAGTCTTTAAGATAAGATTAGATTTTTTTTTTTTAAGTCATGATTCAATCATGTTTCTGGGAGAAACTGAGAGTAGGACATTAGGCAGTACAATGGCAAGGTCCTTTCTGACCTTGGATCCTGTGAATCTCCAAGTTCTTTGTTCACCTGCCTACCTTCTTGGGCTATGAGGAGAACTGGGTGGGCTTTGGTCCATCAACCAGCTCCTGCCACTCAGAGCTCTGCATTAAGAAAATTACTGTAATCAAATCTCATGCTTCAGGGCTTCAGCCATTTGCCTGAAGGGAGCGGGAAAAAGGTTTCTCCCTCTTGCCCGCCCACGCTAATGGCTAAATACATGTTACGTTTGTTTGGTTGGTGCTTCGCTTTTAAAACATCAGAGAGTAAACACAAATGGATATGGGCAGAGATGAAGTCAAATGCAGCAGCACAGAAAATGCTCTCTGGTTGTCCTCTCTTCAGTTAGTCATTCTTGCTCACACCTCAGATCTGATGACTATCAATGTTTACAGAGAAGACATTTTGGCTGTGAGGGTGGAGACCATAGAAGGTAGAAGGTACTGATGGAGAATGCGGACTGGTATCAACCCCATCTACAAGGGCAATGTTTGTTTGATGAGAACATCTTGACCTCCTCAGGTAATCAGATCCTTGTCACTGTAAAAGCCTTGTTTATTAGTGAAACCTCAGTCCCACCTGCTTTCTGATTAAACCAAACCACAAAAGTTTCTTTAAGCCAGAAATGTTTTGGTCCAACTAAAATCTATAGCAAATAGACCTAGGGGGCAATCAAAATAAAGTTTTTAAGAAATGATGAAGTAAAGGAAGCTAAAGAACACAAAATGAATGGCCTACCCCAGTCTTTAACTCTACAAACTACAGCAGTTTGTTTCCTAACAACACTATCACCCAAGCCTGTCAGAAACTAAGCATACAGACAAGATGCATCAAATGTGCCCAAGGCTCTTGACTTTAACGCAGAGTTCAGATGCCGTATCACCTGTGTTTTATATAAAGGCAAGATATATATTTTACACCTATAGATGCCTGAGATAATTCTGTTCTATACCACTTAAAAAGGAAATTACCTGCTTATCTTTTTCCAGGCAAGGAACATGACATGGTTATGAGCCAATCAGTTCAGATTTGTCTTCCTCGTACCTATTGGACCCAGTTCTGGGCTAACAGGTCCCTATGTAAAACCAACCTGATTGACTCAAAATGGATTTCCTTGTCATCTATGCCAGCATACAGGAAATGAAAATCCATGCCTTGGGAGCAGAACACACTTACGCTGCCAGGTTTTTTACAGCTGCAATGAGAAGGGAAGGGGCAGGCGGGCAAGACAGCACACCACACCTGAATTCAGCCTGGTAGCCTAGAAGCTGGGGACAGATGGTGTGAAAATGAACCAGACATTGAAAAATTCAACGTTATAACCAGAAAGACTATAAACATACAGCAAGTGAGCATGAGATTTATGCTGAAATTACAGAGGAATTCCTATGGATGATTACACTTTCAGCCCAAGCATGGAAAGCAAATCCATCAATATGAACGTCACTACATTAACAGTGTAGCTGCCAGGCCTCCCCATTACTGAACCTGGTAAACACGGAAAGGGGCTATGGACACTTGTGACGTGGCACTGCTCACCAAAGTAGTCATCAGAGGGAGGATTCTCCATGTCATACAGCATTTTCTTGGTCAGATGTTCCAGCTCATCCTCAGGCCTGAAGGCAGGAGTGCTTGATGTGGGTCCAGAGCTTGGATACCCACTCTGAAAAAAAAAGGACAAACAGTCTGTGATGTGGTATAAAAGCATTCACCCATGGTAAGAGGGTCTATTGGCTGCTCAGTGTTGAACTTCATTTTTTGTCTTATTTTTGCTTTTTTTAAAACCCAAGGGAGTCATGCAAGTAAACATCTCATTTAATGTAACGAAAACGGACTCCTAAAAACATGCAGTGAAGTGCTATATATCCTCCTAGAATGAGAAGTATTCTGTGCCTCATAATTAGGTGTCTACTGGATAGCACATAATAATAAATAAAGGAGAAAATTATTCCAAGGATAACTTGATACAAACATTTTCCAACACTGAAAAAGGCTTTGGAAGCATTTCAGTTTGTATTTGGCAAAAGCTTCCATCACTTAATAACGCAATATAAAAGATACTAGAACAATCATTCCTACAGTGGTGGAGTATATGGACAAAGACAGATAATCCCGAGCTTCTAGTTATATTCTCTTCCTGTTTGTTTTGACACAAATCCTGCTGTTAACATTAGTGAGAGCAGGAGCTGGACCACAGATTTTTAGTACTGGGGATACAAAGGTTTTAGTATGTGCTTAGAAGCTGAGACCTCTTGGCCTTCATATGCTAACAGCTGGCATGCAGTATTTGCAGTCTGTCTCAGTGAGTCTTCTCCCTGGAAAACAGCAGAAGCACGGGCATATTTTGAGAAGCACAGAAATAGTCTCATGCCTAGAAGTTTCTTAGAAGAAGCTAAGTTTGGTGTCCATAATGAGAAACTCAGTCACTTCAGGATTAAAAAACGCTGACACCAGCTTTCCTTGCGTGCACTGCTTTCTTGAAAGACCTGCATGCGAAAACTAACTTATTTATGAAATGCAGCATTTCAGTAAAGCAAGTGATTTCATTGATTAATTGCTGCCTTCATCAAGGATTGGACCTTAGATATGAAACTTATGAGCCTTAGTCTACAAGGAAGCATTCTTCCATGCGCCATACCTATTTAAATGGGAAGAAAATGTAAAATCACTGGAGAAACAATACATCGGCCACCTCTATCTGGCTTAGAGAGACTACATCTGACATGATGAATCTTTACTGAGCCAGTCATGTTCAACAGAGAACAGCAGCTTTAAAGCACTGCAAGAGAATTAACTAAATGCTTTCACGCTTTTTTCTTTCAGGCAAGAAGGAGATTTCAAATGAGACATCAATCAATGTAGAGAAGGTCTCAGAACGGCGCTCAGCAATAATACTTCAATCATCCACTCCCAGAAACCAAACACTTGCATGTTCCTGACCTTGTCATATTTATTTTTCTAGGGCTCATGCTAAGCTGTACACCATCACCTCCCTCACTTGTTGACCTGATCTATGTCACAGGCGCTGCACCCATGAGCAGTGCAGCATGACTGCACTCCCTGGAAGTGCTGGATTTGCCGTGCATACACAATACGGCAGTTGCGCCCGCTGCCTGCCCGCCAATTGCTCTCTTAACAGAGTAGCAGCAGTGCACAAGGGAGATGAGTGGCATGGTCCCCTGGAAGAAAGGGCACCTGGAATAAGCCCCAGGCTGGATGAATTTCCCTGGAGGGCTGTGCGAGGTCTATTTGCCGTACGTTCAGCCTCCCTGACTGAGAATATAGATTGGACCTACCATACATTCAGGTTTTCCCAGAGACGTTTTCTTTTTCTGCTCAGGGATTTTTTTCTGAGCAATATTCAAGGATTTTGTGGATTTGTCCAGGATTTCTGGATGCCTAGCAGTTGTTCTGAGGAAACTGTTGAACATCTGGAAATCCTGAACATCTGCACACAGCTCAGTACACTCTGTTGTACAAATGCAACCACGCTGATGTGTTTGGGTTACCATGACTTATTTTTTCATATGGGGAGACAGGCCTGTATGGTGCACAGGACTCGCATTTGCTTTCTAAGTCACATAAGTGCCATCTCTGTGGGATATATCATTTTGGTGGGGATAAGGCCACTCATACGACTAGGAGTTTCAGAGCCAGGTACTTGACCCATCACACCCAGACGCCCTTGGCCAGTGCTTTGTGGCTGTTTTTAGAAGGCTAGTTGACAACTATTTCATTAGAAATAAAATAAATAGCATAACCCTAAAAAAAAAAGTTTATTAATAAGCCAATTAAAGGTGCCAAATGTAAAGCATTTAATCTTGGAACAACCTATTTTTTTCCTCTGGTCTCTTGTTCCTAAGAGCTGATCATGAATCTCATCTGAACATGTATTTTAACACAACAAGTGCAGCCAAGGTTTTATTAGTTTGAGAAATCAATCTGGCAACTGAGCCTCTTAAAATATTATTCCATCTCTTGTACCTATTTCAGTTTCCATGCAGAAAGGAATGACCATTGCCACCCCATCGACTGAGACTTCTTCCCTAAACTTTGCACAGAGAAGACAGTACAGCATAAAGCTGATGATGCCCCCATCCCTGTATTTCCCCCGTTAGCAATCACCAGTGCGGCACGAACACGTGGAAGCGCCATGCTCCAGCCTTTCTGCTGGGCTCTGTCAACACATAATCTGAAACACTGCTTTTACCCTCGGGCCTTATAATATAAATGGACTATAATATAAATGGACCAAAACAGAAAGCACAAGCTGCTGTCTGTTCACAGAAAAGGGAAGCGAGATGCATGGAGCTGAAGCGATTTGCCCATCACCACATGTGGGCTCTAAGGCCAGGCTGCTGCGAGCCCCACATCTTCAGCCTCGCACACAGCCCGCCGGGGCTGGACTCAGCGTTGCAGACCTGCACCAGCCACTCTCTGACCCAAAGCCACTGCATCTGCAGGCCTCTGCCAGCCAGGCTTCGGCAGGACACCCTGGGCAGGCAGGGTATGATGCTTCTCCCTCTCTTCCACGCCGGCTTCTGACACCTCCCAATCAGGGGCCCGCTTGTGCCCGCTTCAGTAAGGACTTGGGCTGTGCCATTTAAAATGAAAGACCAAAATCTGCAGATTTTCAGTTCTGTCTGACTTTCTCTGGTTTTGGAGGCCACGTTGCCTCATACACACAATAAATAGGCTGCTCTCGTATTTTATCTACATTGCACTTTTCCAAACCAGGCAGATTTCTTATCCAGTACCCAATGTCAGCAAAAATAACAAATACCAACCACAATGTTATGAGACGCTTCAACTTATTTTTACTAAAATGCTATGCCTTTCTGACCAACATTTAAGCAGTGCTAGGCACATCTTTTTCCTCCTCGCATGGCACATGCTGACTATGTGCCTCCAGGAAAATGCATTTCATGCGTATGAACATGCTGTTGAGTTTGCTGGGACACGCACGCACACAAACGTAGAGAGAAAAGTGTATCCTTAGTCCAATCTAAAATGCTTGTTTCAGCAAAACGGTTTCCTTCCTCCTCCTTTGTTAGGTCAGGGAAAAAATATAACTCTGGCTTTCCTTACAAAACAGAGTTGTGTTGTTGTTATTAAACTTCCTCTATTTTCTCCTGATCTGTACAACAATCAAGGCTGTCTAGAAATTCAATTTGCTGTCTAATCTACCACAGTTATCTTCATGCATTCTCTTTTCTCCATGATGCCTCGATGCACACAAATATGTATTTCTGAGCTACAGACAGGTCAAAGCTGGGGAATTGCAACATGGCCTCCCAAATCCTCTGAGCATCACTCTGTCTGGCTAATCCCAGCAACATCAGGGATGATAAAATGACCCATGAGCATGGAAAAGAGCCTTAGTCAGCAAAAAGCCAGCAGGAGGGACCATGCTTTGGAAGCGGGAGCACTTGAGTCCAACCCTTGCTACTGCCTTCAAATACCAAGCAACCTCAGGGAAGAGCATGATGATTGCAGTCACATGGGCAGATGCAAATGCATTCATTAAGAAACACTGTCCTGCATGCTTAGTTAATGGGATATCTAGGAAAATGCCAGCATTCCCAGGGTTAAACCCCGTGGCAGAAAATATGTTCATGCTACAAACGAAAGGAAGTGAGTTAATCACTTGTGCCACTCTCAAAGCGCTGCAACAACATCTGGCTCATCTTCCTCATTAAAGTTCAGTTCCTAAAAAGCCAGGTCAGAAGAAGCAGTCGCGTGGAATCACTGCATAATTATTTTGGTACACAAAGTTGATACTTGTTTCAGTGCTTCTCTGGCGCATGTTTTCTACTCCAGACCTCACTGGTAATCAGCTGTCTCTGATGTAATGGCTGCCCAGAAAAGGGAGCTCTGCAGTTAGTGAGGTGCAGCCACCAACATGAACCTTGCCCATCCACATATAAATTTTTACCCGAATGGGTAAAAACCACAGCACAAAATCTGCAAAGACATCTGAAGATGATGCTGTGATGAATGCACCATCATTCAGAGTGTACTGTATGTGGTCATTTTTCTTGTCCATTTGCAAATGTTGTAGAAGAAGCTTTTTCTCTCTGAGAGAAAATAACTTCAATTATGTGTTCCCAATTACAGAAACGTGGAAATTATCTTCTTTTCAGAAGGTAGAATTAGCCCAGTTTGGAATTGAAAGGCAGCCAGAAACATCTTTCACCGATACTTACTTTCCCTTTCATTTTTTTCTTCTTGTTCATCTGCATAAAGTTAGCACTTCCCTTTCACTTCACTCACCAAAACTAATCATCAGTTAAATAAACAGTTAAATAGCATCACAGCACATTTTTTATTCAATGGCCTGACAAAGACCATACTTTTTCATTTAAGTTATTGACTGTCCAAAACAATCGCAAACTTTCAGACCAAAAAATCCAGCATGGTGCCACATCTCTCATGAGTCGAGCTCCCAAAGAAATATCAAGATTGCCTGCAGCTGTAATTCAGTTTATAATTAAGGCCAACTGATCTCTCTTACAGAGGAGATGCACTGGAAGAAAAATATTTTAATTCTTGATTTATTTTCCCAGTGAAAAGTTACAGCTGCCAGAGTACATACAGATTCCTGAAAAGACGATTCTGCCTAGAATCCCTGCGACACACATGTTCCTGGGTCTACTTCTGGTC